ATTTATGGGGCTAAGTTGGACCCAACTTATCGCCTTTTTAACATTCGGACATGGTCTGGCGATAGTGGGGTCCAAGCAATTCCCGTATATGCCGAGCAACACAATTTTCTCTTTTGTCCCAAAAACCCAACATTGCCCAACAAAAACATCAGATTTCACCCTCAAAACGGTCTCCAAATTACTAGATACGCCACCTGAGGTTCAAGTAGACATCAATAATTAAGATGGTTGTACTGAAGTTTACTTACGATCTGGATGAAAAGTGAAAATTTCCCATTTAATCCTGAGAGCTCCCCTCGCGATTGTGAACACGTTCAATTTCCGACTCATGTTAATGTTTGAACGATGCGATGTGGTCTTCATGCCCAGTGTACATTGTACATTCGATGGTCCCCATATCCTGAGTGCGATTCCGTTACCGAGCGCAATGCATCGATTATGATAATGAGTAGACTGGATCTCGTTTGTAAACACAGGTACATTTCGAACGATAATAGTGAGTCGGGAACTAGGACAGCTTTTATGGGCGGAAACCAGTTCAAGCTAGTTCCCGATTGTCTTTTACCATTTGAAATCCACTTGTGTTCACAAGCGAGATCCAGTCTACTCATTATCATAATCGATGCTTCGCGCTCAGTAACGGAATCGCACTCGGGATATGGGGACCATTGAATGTACGCTGGGCATGAAGACTATATCACGTCGTTCAAACATTAACACGAGTCGGAAATTTAACGTGTTCATGATCGCAAGGGGAGCTCTCAGAATTGAACGGGAAATTTCACTTTTCTTCCGGATCGTAAATAAACTTCAGTACAACCATTTTAATCATCGATGTCCATTTGTACCTCAGGTGGCCTATCTAGTAATTGGGAGACCATTTTGAGGGTGAAATCTGAATGTTAAAAAGACGATAAGTTGGGTCCAAGCATGGTCCAAGTTACTCGGACTACTGTAAGTGTAGTCCGAAAATTTGGGACTCTCAATACTGTGTATGAGAGTCCCAAAACTTATGGTATTGAAAACATGCAAAGCAAGAAAAAAGACTGGCACCTGAAACAACCAGTCCAACACAGCTTCAGTACTGCATCAATCAACCATGCCAAAAGAATTAAAGAAACATGTGGCATGAAGCGGGAACTAGTCTCAATTTACTACACATTTCTCCGTAGTCAAGCCACCAGACTATTGACACTGAATGAAGAGGTCAGTCTTTTCAAATAGTTGGACCATATGGTCATGATGGTTGGACATGTACCAGTCTAGTATTTAGTCCCATTTTGAAATCACTTGACTTCCCTCTAATGTGCAAAACATTGAAGAAAAATGTCCTTTGAAAATTGAATTGAGTCTCCAAACTTGGTTGGTGAAATACTGAGGACATTTTCTTTGCCCGTTTTGTTTTGCACGTTTCAGAGCACTCCAGAGCCCTGTCTGCTGTAAGTGTAACTTAGCCCTAGTCCTAGCCCAGGTTGGACTCTGTTGTGTACACGCAACGGAGTCCAGGGTATGAATCTCTCCTGCCATAGCGAAAACAGTTTTAACACATTTAGTATTAGTAAATATTGCTTGAGATTATTTATGCTGATTGAATTCTTCTCATTGTCTTTGGGTAATGTATTTTTTTTTTCATTAGAAAATTGACGTGACAGGTCACACAGTGGATGATTTGGTGAACAAGACAATAGAATACCTTAAGCCCAATCCAGGTAAGAACCAAAATTGAAACATCATTGGCGCTAACCTTCCCAAATCCTCCAAAATCCTATTTGCAAAATGTAGGCTTTTGCAGGATTGAGGCTATATGGCAAAAATGTGTGCCTGATTAGTGATTTATGAGGATGCACTGTGTCAAGGTCTTGGGCCGGATCTTGTGTTGTTCCCCCTGAGCTCAGGGAACCAGACTAGCTGGCTTGCATCCATTCACGGATGTGAAACCGCTTGCAAAAAAAATGTGGACTGAATAAATTGGGTAAATTGGGGCACTATTTGGACAAATCAGTTTCTTCCAACGATGGTCGGCCGACCATCTTTTGAAATCAATACAAAAATTCCACTTTTCTTAAAAATGACAGCACACCAGGTGCCATGATTTCACAGGATGTCTGAGACTGTCATTCACCTACAGTCAAGTAAAGGATTTCATAATAATTTGGTAGTTTTGTTTGTTGGTGTTTGCAAATGTCGTATATTACCTTTAATTGTAACCCTTTGGAATAATTACGTTTGGGGTGACTATAGAACACCGGTTTGAATCGGGTCTAAGTATTCACTTCAAACAAACCAAATAGAGATAGATCTTCTATTTGTGTGCTGACCCTAATCAATCGTATTGTCTTTCCTGAACAGTCTCCAGAGCCATGAGCAAAGTCCGTGAAGAACGGCAGAGAATTAGGAGAAGATTCAACATTTGGTGAGCAAGCTTCAAGATGTATTCTCTTTCCTTCTGTGGTAGACTGATCATAAAGCTCTCAAAAAGGTGCTATAATCAGTGTTCCAATCCACCAACATATACCATGAGTATTGCGTAATTTATGTAGGGCCCAGCACTTCAGATATATGCAAGGCCAAGTAAAGAAATAAACCAGTTTCTCGTAGCTGCCCGCTGCCTTTTTTTGCACCCACTTTTTATTTTTTAATTTTTTTTAATTTATAAATGCATACATTTGCAATATACAGGTGAGTCAAAAAAGACGAAACCCAAATGGCAGGACCAATTTTTGAATAAAGTTTTGCCTGTAGCACTTTCCAAATCTAGGATATGAAAACCCAATCAATGAGCTTTGTATTAACACAATATAATCTTTCCTGTTATAGGCATTATAAAAAGATGGATTTTGTTATGTTTTTGTTTTTGTTTGGATACAGGTACGGCGATGGTCGAGATGGAAGAATCACTGAGGCAACTTTCTGAAGTCAAGGGCGCCTTCGATCTGAACGTCAGACAGAACTTCCTGGATCCCCTGGATCATCTCAAGAACAAAGATCTGAAAGAGATCAACGTGAGTTCCATCTTACAAAATCTAACATCATCCATTATCTGGTTGATTCTGATAGAATCAGGACTGTGTTGCACAGCCACGTTCGGGGAAATTCAAGCACAAATTAGGGAAAATGGAAAAGCATAAAGCCACGTCAGAATGAAGTGGCTACGGCTAATACATTAGTTGCACCTATGGAAGCAGATGAAGCCACTTCCCATGTGGGCTAGTGTTAGTCGTAGCCATGTCATTCAGACATGGCTTATGCTCACTAACAGAAGGGTTAACCAGGGTTACTGGAAATTACATTCTCATATAGCGTAATCCGGCGAACAAAATTAGTAGCCATTTTTGAGGTCGCGCCACGACTACGTACATGCGTTCTTAAAGACGAGGCTCGCAAATGTTTTGGTCGAAGGAGTCCGGAGTGCGCGATTCACGTGAGCCTAGTGCCTCCGCATTTATCCTGAGTTATCCTGTTCACAGACAAACCAAGGCCGATGAAAACATATACCTCACCTCATGGTGGAGGAAAAAAAAAGCAGACGGGAAACCATTTTTTTTTTTACTCTGTCTAATAATGCATTTCATAGACCATGCATTTCATAGACAATCTTAGCTTCCAGGGTATACTTAGCACAGCTGTTTAGTTTTGGTGGAAACAACAGAACAATAAAATGTTGTTTTTTATAGGTATCAATAAAAAAAAAATTGTTTTGGTTATTTTTTTAATACAGCTACGGCGATGGTCGAGATGGGAGAATCACTGAGGCAACTTTCTGAAGTCAAGGGCCCCTTCGATTTGAACGTCAGACAGAACTTCCTGGATCCCCTGGATCATCTCAAGAACAAAGATCTGAAAGAGATCAACGTGAGTTCCATCTTACAGAATCTGACAGAATTTGGTTGATTTTGATAGAAGCAGGACTGTGTTGCACAGCCACCTGCGGGGAAATTCAAGCACAAATTGTGGCCAATCTGGAAAAAAATTGATACAAGACAAGTGATCGATTACTGGTTGATTTGGGTTGTAACTTATGCCTGTGTACTTTGGGTCATTCGATAAATTTGGGGTCCACTTTTTTCCTGTCCCTGTTAAATCTGACATCTGTGATTTTATAATTCTGGTGCACTCCTTAATGCAGTCGTCCTCCAAGAGTGATTATGAATAGCAAACTACCTACACAACGAATACAAAATTGTTTAAAGTCATTTTAACCCTAACTCCCTGGGCATTTTTGTGATGATGCTGCAAAATCCTCCAACTGCCTCCATGTCAAAATTGCAAGCAGCCTCAATCCTGCAAAATCCTCCATTATTTCTTGAATGTGATCCGTGGAAGAATGATCACTGCCTCAATCCTACAAAATCCTCCAGCAATCACTGTCAATATGTTGAGGCAGAGCCAGTGACATCCTGGAGCAGTGTGGAGGACTTCAAGTATAATTTATGCACAGCTGAGCATAAACAAACACAAGGCCCGGCCCAAGACCTTGACACACGTGCATCCTGCAAAATCAGCCACACATTTTTGCCAATTAAACAGCCTCAATCCTGCAAAATCCTTCATTTTGCAAAGAGGATTTTGGAGGATTTGGGAAGGTTAGGGTTAATGCAGTCGTCCACCAAGAGTGATTATGTGAAGCAGACAACCTACCCAACAAATTGTTGAAGTCATTCTTAATGACACTTGAACAGCAAATGGCAACGTTCAGAGATAACAGGAACTCGAAAATTGTCACACTTTGACCCATAATTTATATAAGGAGCCTTACAGCAATGTGCAAATGTCTCTTGTCAAACAGTACATTAACTTTCTCCCCAATGTTTGATTTCTACAGCACCATCGGAAGAAGTTACAGGGGCGACGTCTTGACTTTGACTTCAAAAAGAAGAAGCAAGCAAAAGGTAGGCGACAGATTATCTCAAATCCATCATATCAAATCATCTTACATTACTAAAATATCATAACTAAAACAAAAATAAACCATCAGACTTCCAAAGTGTTATTGTTAATGTGGGGGCACGTAACCTCCATCCACACACCGGCTGCCCGGATACAGGGCTATATTTAGATTGACCTATGTTGTTGTTGACGCGTGACCTATGCAAATGTAGCACTTGTTAACTCAATGTCCATTCACTCTTGAAACAAGTAGGTCCATAGTTTTAGAGGGTTTCTTCTACATTTTCTTATTATAATTGTATAAGAATGACAATAATGTCTAGGTGGAAGTTCCTTTGAGTATATTATGTCATTTACGGGTGTAAGTAATCCGTAACAGCATTTTGTTGAGGGTGCAATAATATTTTAGAGACACTTGGTGATGTGTCCGCATCGTGCGGGAGCGCGCGAAACAGGCACTGCTTGTCTTCCAACTTTTGGACGGCAGTCACTTATTTTGTAGCCGGGATTTTCTCGGTGAGAATTCACCTTTCCTTTGCTGTTTGCCAGCATAATCATGTGCTGAGTGGGAAGGTGGGCGCCTCTGGAACCTGTGGTGAGTGTCCTTTTTATCATAACTTTGCGGGAAACTTGCGTTTTTGTGACACTTTCACTCACGAACTTTCCAATTTTGCAGCGTCGTCGTCATAGCTACAGTCGTGCATATTCCCACACACACCCACGTTGTACTTGTATGCACAGCGTCTGAACTCGTGTTGTGTGTGTGACCTTTGACCGCCATTGTGTGTACACATTCACCATGTATTTTGACCGCAGTGTTGTCTTGTTTATTTTTCCGTAGGCAATATGTAGGCGCGGTCTACTGTGAGACCTTCATTTATTGCACCTGGGGATCTTTACTACACGGGATCTTTACTATACGGGATCTTTACTATACGGGATCTTTACTATACGGGATCTTTACTATACGGGATCTTTACTATACGGGATCTTTACTATACGTGATCTTTTGCCTGGTGATCTGTCTTTGCATCGTGACCGGGATCCACACACATAGCACATATACTGGGGAAGTTTTGGGATCAACATCTGTTCATCATGTTCATTAACTGCAACTGATCTAATTAACTCATTGGTTATTCTACTGATTTGCTGATGATTGAATAAATTCTCTATTAATCGCTGAAATTGAACTGAACTGGTGATTCCGTGTGATTCCATCTGGGGCAGCCTCCAACACACTTATCCTGATTTAGTTTGGGATCAAACTCCCTCATCATGCTGTGACACCGCAGTATTCAAATCACTTCAAAAATGGCGACGAGGATGGGATGGAGTGTGTTGCTTGTTGATCTCGTCGTGATCCTTCATCATCGGTCATCAAATTCAAAGATCCCCTGGTGCACGTTTCAACCTTTCAAGTCCTGCGACTGTGGAGGATGTGGCTACTGATGTCCTTCAGTGGGAGATCTGTAAATCGGCAGTTTTCTCAAATTTTGTATGTATTTTTACATGTTTATTGCACACGTGTATAACCCGTTTACAGTGATGGTCTTTGTGCATTGTTTATATGAACCCATTTTTTATTGACATATTTAGCTGCCTTTGTCAATAGAATTTTCATGTCAATGGTGCCCATAGAGGAGCCGTACGTATATTCATTGACCAGTTTCATCTGTGTCTGTTTTTCATATTTTGAGCCAATGTTGCATGGTTGGTGATTTGTAGGATGGTCAAGTCTATCCTCACGTTTAACGGAGCATATTTTTGAGCTTCAATTGAGGCATTTCGTGCATTCAGTTTTGAGTTGATGCAATTCAACATGTCACGTGTGTTTTGTACGCCATATATTTTGTAGTGCTCAAGAAGCCATTTGTATTGTGTTTTCATAGACTTTGTTCTGTGAAATTTTGACTTTGGTCAGTTATGGCCATGTTTAAAGTGCTGGAAGATGCACTTGCCCTTCGGAATGAAAGGCTAGTTGAAACACTAGTCAGTGTTTTTGAAAGTGCGTCTGTTGTGGAGCCCACTGTTGGGACTCTGTTCATAAATTCCGAGGCAAATTTTGATAATCTTGTTGGGGATATTGTAGGCATACTCACAGAAAGTAATGCATTGCTTGTTAACAGTGTTAGCTCGTTAATGGAGCAAGATTTAGCAACTAGCACCCCCGTAGGCTGTACTGAGCAGTTTCATGATACTGATGTTAGTCAGGGAAATGCCCTACCCCCGTCACAGCGAGCCATGTGGCGGTGGGTGAAGTTGATCTGCCAAATACAAAATGTATTGTCATTGAATCTTGTGGGGATTTTTGCGGTGATACAGTGTCTGAAGAGGGAGATAGTTTTGAGGAAATATTTATCGATACTGTAGGGTCATATGATGTATTAGAGGGGAGTTGTGATGTAACTCTTTGCCCTCAGTCTGTTTCAGAGAAGGAAACTTCCTGTTTTATTCAAGACCCTCAATTTGTTGCTCTCAGAGAAGAGTCGTTTGAAGATCCTCATTTTGATGTTACTCCCAATATCTTTGAATGTGCTGACTGTGTACTTGTTGAAAGTTCACAAAGTGAATTGCACAATACATTTGTTTGTGATGACACATTTTTATCTATCCCCAATTGTAGTGCAGATAGGCTCACCTGTTATGATGTATATGAGGTTTCGCCCTTCAAGGTGACCAAGTTGTTGTTGACCGTATATGTTGAGTGTTGGATGCCTTCCTTGCAGAGTAGGGCTTGCAAAAAAGCAGGGAAGTGTTATCCCGGATGGCCTAATGCCATAACTTAATTGAATTATCATTTGTCATCATACTTTTCAGCGTATGAAAAATCTTTAGTGCATTGGAGAGGGGATTACTTGCACCACATTTGTGGTGTGGGACGAGGTGTACTGCCGTCTTCGCCTCCCAATATAATTGTGATGTACTGCAAGTTAAATGTAGAGTTTTGAAGATTTGTATTTTCGTGATAACAAATATACTATGCAAGCAGTATACATACACTTAAGTTATGCGGTGTGGTGGAGAAATTTGTCATGGTATATCCTTACTGATCACTGTTTTTAAGGAATGGGAATTATTGTTCATGTATTGACATTTCCTCTTTTTACCCTACGTACTGATAGTGACGGGTTATTGGCTCATGCTTTTAAAGCCATTTTTGTGTGGAAAATGTTATCATTTCCCAAATTCCAATTTGTTTTACCCTAAGTACTGATAGTGACGGGTGTTGCTCCACTATTGTTGGAAGCACATTTTTGTGGTCGGTGGGATTATCTGTGACAGTTTCTCCATCTCATTGTTGACGGGTTTATGGCTCATGCTGTTGTAGCATTTATGTGAAATATATGCCATTTTTCGGTGTAGTTGGTAAATTCCAGCTCTCTGTTCTCACAATTTAGTAAGGTTTGAATAACCTCGTGTGTGAGACTTTTTTTCGGCATTTCACCATTTTGTAAAGCCATTTTTGTGTGGAAAATGTTATCATTTCCCAAATTCCAATTTGTTTTACCCTAAGTACTGATAGTGACGGGTGTTGCTCCACTGTTGTTGGAAGCACATTTTTGGTGGTCGGTGGGATTATCTGTGACAGTTTCCCCATTACATTGTTTGTTGCTGGTAATGCAAATGAAGACAGTGATAGATTATGTCTGTAACCTTGGGTGTTGATACCTTTGTTTCAATCAGGTAATCAGATTACCTTGTACATGTGTACTTGTGATTGCTTTTGTGAAGGAAGTCAATCTAAGATCCTTAGTTCTATGAAGGCGACTACTATTTTAGAATACCTTATGATTAAAACAGCAGCTGTAGAAAAGTTGATTTCATTGTATTGACTTTAAAGAGTAATTATCGAGCCTTGACCTTTGACTAAGGTTATCAGAAATTTGTTGTGGAACAGAATTTGAGAAATACAAGTGTGGATATCCATTGTTTGACTATTTTGGAAATAAGAATTGATGCATGTGCATTGACAAGTGTTAAAACTTTTTGCTATAGTTGACTAAAGTATAAACTTATCCATTGATCTTGAATACGTTAAATGAGAAGGTCTTTGGAAATGTATGTGCTTGGAATTATTGAAAGCTTTTTGTAAAATATCATGTTTCCCATTTAGCACTACAAGTGTCAAATGTCTATTGCGTAGTATTAAAGGAGACGCATACATGTGTATCTTTCATTCATGCCATATTCTTATGTAAAAGTATGTCAGCTTCATCCTTTTTAACAATGGAAGTTGAGTAACGACCAGTAGACATGTACTTGTATGCACACTTTATCATACATGTATATATAACATGTATAACATAAAAAAAAAAAATGTTCTCGTTAAAGTTTATCTTTAAAGAAATATTTTGGATGTTAAATTATATCTTGCCAATGTGTAAAATTAATATGGTGCTTAATACTGATGTTGCACAGTGAAATCTTACAACCTTTGAATAACAGTACATTGTACTTTAGTAGGGACCACTCGGGTCGCGTGGTCTTAAAGCAGGGAATTTGTGGGGGCACGTAACCTCCATCCACACACCGGCTGCCCGGATACAGGGCTATATTTAGATTGACCTATGTTGTTGTTGACGCGTGACCTATGCAAATGTAGCACTTGTTAACTCAATGTCCATTCACTCTTGAAACAAGTAGGTCCATAGTTTTAGAGGGTTTCTTCTACATTTTCTTATTATAATTGTATAAGAATGACAATAATGTCTAGGTGGAAGTTCCTTTGAGTATATTATGTCATTTACGGGTGTAAGTAATCCGTAACAGCATTTTGTTGAGGGTGCAATAATATTTTAGAGACACTTGGTGATGTGTCCGCATCGTGCGGGAGCGCGCGAAACAGGCACTGCTTGTCTTCCAACTTTTGGACGGCAGTCACTTATTTTGTAGCCGGGATTTTCTCGGTGAGAATTCACCTTTCCTTTGCTGTTTGCCAGCATAATCATGTGCTGAGTGGGAAGGTGGGCGCCTCTGGAACCTGTGGTGAGTGTCCTTTTTATCATAACTTTGCGGGAAACTTGCGTTTTTGTGACACTTTCACTCACGAACTTTCCAATTTTGCAGCGTCGTCGTCATAGCTACAGTCGTGCATATTCCCACACACACCCACGTTGTACTTGTATGCACAGCGTCTGAACTCGTGTTGTGTGTGTGACCTTTGACCGCCATTGTGTGTACACATTCACCATGTATTTTGACCGCAGTGTTGTCTTGTTTATTTTTCCGTAGGCAATATGTAGGCGCGGTCTACTGTGAGACCTTCATTTATTGCACCTGGGGATCTTTACTACACGGGATCTTTACTATACGGGATCTTTACTATACGGGATCTTTACTATACGGGATCTTTACTATACGGGATCTTTACTATACGGGATCTTTACTATACGTGATCTTTTGCCTGGTGATCTGTCTTTGCATCGTGACCGGGATCCACACACATAGCACATATACTGGGGAAGTTTTGGGATCAACATCTGTTCATCATGTTCATTAACTGCAACTGATCTAATTAACTCATTGGTTATTCTACTGATTTGCTGATGATTGAATAAATTCTCTATTAATCGCTGAAATTGAACTGAACTGGTGATTCCGTGTGATTCCATCTGGGGCAGCCTCCAACACACTTATCCTGATTTAGTTTGGGATCAAACTCCCTCATCATGCTGTGACACCGCAGTATTCAAATCACTTCATTAACCTGACACTAAATTTATCATTATTAATTGTCATAGAGTATGTCCCAAAAAAGTGTCTGTGAAAAAAAGTCTGATGTGGTTTGGGATTGGAATCATTTGCCCTTGAGCATTAAACCGAGGTCTTGCCGTGATGACTGATAGCCAGGCAAATGATTCCAATCCCAATTGCAGCCCTTTTCACAACATGCAGGATTTTACACAGCTTACATAAAACAGCACTGAAATTGATTAAGGCAAGGAACTTGGTCACAGTGTCCCAAAATGTTGTTGTGATCAATTGACAAGTGTGCAGTGATGCGTGACTGAAATTAAATGAAAATCATCGGGGTTGAGGCTAAGATAAGGAGTATCTGCACAATCAAACTTTTTCAAATTGGACTTCATGGTTTTGAAGTTATTTCAAAAATAGTCAGACGGACATTTCTTTTGGACATACTGTATAATGCGTATAATATTTGTTTGCACTAAAAGAATAAAAACAAAAATTGCATTTAAAATAGTGTTCCTTGCAAGCCTTCAATTGTGGTTTAGTTTTTTTGAGGACTTAGTTTAGGCAATCGAGAAAAAGTTTGAACTTTGTGTCAACCATATTCACTCAGCAGCCAATATGATCTGCCAAATATTGTTTCCAAAAGTGGATATTGTCATCGGGAACTGAACTTTGTTACTTTGATCGATAGGCCTAACTGTCTCTAATAGAAGAGTTTAATCATGAAATCCTGTAAATTGACGTCGCTGTGAAGGAATTTTCAACACCTTTGATTTCAACATCATTTTTTTTTTTACCACTCACTGTATTAATGTTTTACTTTCATTTTTCACTGTGTATCATCTACATACTCATCAGCATTAGCAGGTTTGGTCGGTATGTCAATAGTCTAGTTCCTAGACTCGTCATGAATGGTCCCTTATTGTGCTTAGCACCCATAGTGTACACCCATAGCTCACTACAAGTTTGAACTAACAATAAGCGAAATTGTCTGTGAGTTTCAAAAATGAGAATAGATAGTGTTGTTGACATTTGTTAATGCACAATATTACCTTGTACTTTCCCTACAACAATATTGTGAATGTGTGTATGTAGAATGCTAGATGCTTAAGATTTACAACTGTGATAAATGTCCATGTAATAGATTAACCTCAGTCCACATGTACGTGCAGGCTTTTAAGTACTCCTACTTTTCCTAGATATATATTTTTTTTACCGTGCTCCAATTTTTCCTACTTTTTTCTTGATTTTTGTCCCACAACTCCGAAGAAATTTAATCTCATTGAAAACTTTCATGGCAGTGTTACACACTGTCAAATCACACAATGAAGGGCTTGGGCGCAGGAGTACTGCAACTGTACTTTCAAGAGCTTAGTTTAGGATGGAGCACAAGTGTTGTGAGTACAGAACATGCCAAATGAGGCTTATGATGCTGTGGACGTGGGCGAGCATCAACGAAAACTACCCCAGAAAGCCCACTACAGTCCTACTTTTATCCTGAGTTTGTCCTCCAAAATCCGACTTCTGTCCTGTTGGTTTTTGTAAATTTTGACCCTACTTTTCTCCTTCTTTTTCACCTGGGTCTGCTTGAAAGCCTGTACGTGTATCGTACTATCATGACATTCTATTTTGAAGTGTGTTTTAAATCAAATTAGGTTAATTGCCCTTCAACGACGTTTAAACACTGTATACTCAGTGGGTAACACACTGAGTATACAGTGTTTCAACGTCAGTGAAAGGCAAAACCTAATTTGATTTATATCACCCCGACGCAAAAGTCCATCTTATAAAAGTGTGTTTTAGTTAGTTCATCAGTTACATGTCCGTAATAAACGTTTACCCCTTCAGGATTGGTCTAGACAGCCTCCGGGATAAAAAAACGACCAAACTGAATACAAAGGAATCCAACGGCTGCTTAGATTAATGGTCTCCATGCGCAAACAGGAGAGGGAGTTATTTGATCACTTTTAATAGTCCAGTGGATGGGGCACACTACGTATAGCGCATGGTACCCTGACTACTTTCATTCCCAATATGCACAAAGCCATAGCGTCTTCCTGTGACGTCAGGCGTCGTTGGCAATGCGTTCAAATGTCTCTCCCAGTCGTCTCCCCGACCCCAACTCTCCCTTTCTTACCGTTGAGGGGGTACTTGTGCGAAGAGCCCATTGGTCTATAATCCTATGATGACATCATGTTTCTATTTTTACTTTCCATGTACCCGTAAAAACGTTTTCGTCGGTTCCTCTCAGCAGCAGGTGGTATGTCAACACCGATTTTGTAGCGTAGCATTTCGTAGAAAATATTGTGGTGAAATAGATCAGAATTGATTGAGGATTCCGAAAATACAGTATAAGGCCAAAAGTCTATGTGTCCGTCATGCGTAGTGCGCACTTCCTGATGTGTAGAAATCAGTTGTTTGATAAGCAATGTGCATACATACATAGGTCCATGTACCTGTATTGCGCATTGCGCTATCCCTACTGCGTTAAGACCAGTCATTGTGGGAATATGAGTTTGTACGTCGGTCACAAGTGTGCCGAGAAATACGTACTCGTGGATTTTCAGAGTACGCATCGCGGATACGCAACTGGTATGCAAAACGCAATATACGCACATCAAAAACGGACACATGGATTGTCGGCCTAAAGCGTATCAAATTTGGCCAGCAGTCTGGGCTATAGAGTAGGCAGTAGTGCTATATTTGTAGATTTCGCCGTGGGTGCAGAGTCGAAAATGAAGGCAAAAGGAAAAAGCGTAAAGCCACGTCAGAATGAAGTGGCTACGGCTAATACATAAGTTGCACCTATGGAAGCAGATGAAGCCACTTCCCATGTGGGCTAGTGTTAGTCGTAGCCATGTCATTCAGACATGGCTAATGCTCACTAACAGAAGGGTTAACCAGGGTTACTGGAAATTACATTCTCATATACAGTGGAACGTTGCTATACCAAACACCGCTATTTTGAAATATATTATCCCAGATTTCTAAAGCTCGGTAGTCATTTTTTTTGAAAATCAAAACTGGATTAGAGTTCACTTTGTCATTTTGCAGTTTTGGTTTTGTTTTGGTTTTGATGCTAGCTTGTGCATGTTACTTCCTTTATTTTGTTTGGCATTTCACGGGAACGTCCTCATGAAAATTGCATGTTTTGTTTTCAAACATCTTGCTTGAAACACTAACAGCATGTCATAGAACAAACGTAACCAGCATTTTCACTTTGCCTGCATGTTTAAGCCAGCTGCTATGTTTTCTTGATTGGAGATTATCATGCCTTTTTTAATTTCATTTTTTTTTTCATTTTATTTCAAACTCATCCAAATCGAGCAACAGTCTAAAGACCAAAAATGTCTGATTTACTGGGGGATTAAATAAGACAAAACTTTGTTATTAAAAAAATCCAAACAATATATTCAAAAAGAAAACAAAGTTGCATTGGAAGATGTTCAGATTGACAAAAAAATGGTAAACTGTAAGAGTGTTTTCAGTTTTAACATCAAAAGACATATTGTGTTACAAGTTTTAGAATGTAATTTGTAACTGTTGTAAATTATTGTGTCTTTTTAAGAAGGACAACTACTTATGTTGGCAAAGAGTTAATGTTGGTTGTAGTTGATTCTGTCAGAAATAACATGAATTTGTATATATGGAGGTATCATGAATATTCATTACATCTCATACATATTAATGAGCCTGTTTGCTCATTTTGTTGGTCAATATTCAATTGCATTGATGAAAAAAATTGACCCAAATCATTTTTGCTTGGACTAAACCTTGGATAAGTGTAGATAAGTGACTTTTCCGAGGACGAAATTGAGAAAGTTTAAGTGTTAAATATGTGTGAGTTGTAATAAGTACGGAACTTTGTTATGCAGCTGATTTCACAAAAAACAGTGCGTAACTTACGCCATGCGTAGGACTTAATGCAACAAACTTATTGCGCGGCCATGCAATGAACTTATGATTGATTTCACGAAAGCTGGCGTACATGGGCCACGTTTTAAATAATCTAAAAATCTTGGACGAGGATAATAACAGCATTTCATGGAAGAAATGTTTGTGTATGATTTGTTCGTTCGTGAAGCAGTTGTTGAATCACTTCCGCCCGCCATTTTGGAAAAAAAACCTGGATTAATACAAAAAAATCTTAAAAAGCAATCAAATTTAATAGACGAATGAAGTATACAAAATGTAGCTCCATGGAATGCCATTGGAAGCTATTGAGCTGAGTGAGAATTACAGATTACACACAGGCATTCAAAAACAAATGAGATTTCAATCATTTGAGTCAAGACTAAAACAGTATTTTTACTGTCAGATTTTGTGTTTCGATTATGAGGAACAAGTCCACTCTTTTTTTCTGAAATATTGATGGCGATTTTTGTCCGTTTTTCCATTCATTCATGGAGGTGGGAAAACGTTTATGTTTCATGGTATTTAATGGGTATTTATTTGTTTGTAGAATGATAATTATCAGTGGTGGACAACTGAATGTTGGATCATTGTATCAAAATATTCATTACTTGGGAATAGAGTATGCAAATTACGTGAAATTTTCACAGTTACTAGTCAATAACAAGTACTTTACCCCTATTTATATTAAACAGAGCGAGCCACATATTTTTTGAAATATGTTTCTAATTTGGTCACTTTTTTTATGACTCATTGTGTACATGGTGATGGAGTAACTCTAACTCCCTAGCATGATGTACCAGGAACCATACCCATCCTGGCAAATTCCAACACCATATGGGAAACTGCTCACACATATTTCTGACTTTGATTCTGGAGGTGTGCCAACCCAATGTAAAAGACTGTCAGTTTAAGGGTACTGTACCCATCCTGACGGATTCCCACTAAACATGCCGTTGGGGTTTGATGGTTGAGTTCTGTTAGGGTTAATGCATGCTTGCATGATGCAGCAATTATACTACATTTCCACACCAGGAAAATACTGGCATCTTGGATAATTCTGAGCCAATATTTCTGACTTTTGTTCTCATCAATCTTGTTTTTGTTTGTGTTGCAGGAAGCACAATTCCTGAAGAAGAAATCCAGTTTGCAGAAGAGAAGTTTCACGAATCTCAGGAGCTTGCTGAGAACGGGATGAGGAACCTCCTTGAGAGTGATGTAAGTACCTGACAAATCGGAGCAAAGATGAGCCAAGATGCACTAGAGCATCTTACTACTCAATCAGATACCACTCATTGAGTCTCAAGAACAAGTTTTCACTTTATATTTCTGCACATTTATTTTGATATTTCTCTCAGTTCAACCATGGAAGAATAATTTATACCGATATTGTATGGGTGAAGAGATTGACGGTTTCCTTTTTAATTCTGTTGTGTAAGATATTCTTTAAATTGCCATGTAATTTAATTGTTTTAATGCAATCCTTGAAAATGCACCTTGTTTTCTTTAACAGGTTGAGCAGGTGTTACAGCTTCAAGCGTTAGCCGAGGCACAGCTAGAATACCACAAACAGTCTGCGGAGGTCTTGGAAAGCCTTCTGTCAACACTCATGAAAGGTATGCCAACAGGGGAAATCTGCCCCCCCCCCCCCCCCCACTCACAAGTGTCCATGTTTGATAATCAAAAAAAAAACGAAGAGAAGTAGGGGTTACTTTTTTTCTAAATCGATGCTTCTCGTCATCAACGGATTTGTGAAACTTAAATCAGAAAGAAATATAAAAGCATCTTACTACTCAATCAGATACCACTCATTGAGTCTCAAGAACAAGTTTTCACCAGAAATCAAGCTCTCACGGGAAAGGCCCCTGATGCCATGGCCAAACCCATGATTCCCTTGGTTACCACGTTTCACCCCAATCTCCCTCCCCTCCGCAAAATCACTAATGACAATCATCATATCCTCCATACTTCAGATCGCCTTGCCCGCGCCATCCCCAACGGCCCCACATTGGCTTACAGGCGTCCTCGAAATCTACGGGACTTGATTGTTCGAGCTGAAGTCCCATCCTTAGATGCATCCCCTCCCACCCAGCATGGTACTTTCAAGTGCAGTTCCAGATGTGTTGTCTGCCAGATTCATATCCAGGAGTCTGACTCCTTTTCTGTCCACTCTTCTGTCACTACCCACAGAACCATTGGTAACATCACTTGTAACACCTCTAATGTCATATATCTCATTTCTTGCAGGGTCTGTGGAGTGCAGTATGTAGGTGAGACTAAGAATACGCTCAAGAAGCGTTTCTATGCCCATCGGTCAACGGTCAACACCAAGAAACTAGACACCCCTGTTGGTCATCACTTCAACCTGCCTAACCACTCCATTTCTGATATGATTTTGCAGGGCATTGAATCTCTTGGCCATCGCAAGGACTCAGTTCGCCTCAGCAGAGAGTGGATGAATCGTCTTCGAACTATTCAACCACATGGTCTCAACATCCAACTTGGAAATGATTAATCCTTTTTTTTTTTCCTCCATTGTCTTCTGTTACAGATAATCCATCTGGTCTTCCTTGTTTGTGTTTACCCATCTTCCCCCATCTTTCATCCCTTTCCACCTCCATACTGTTTCCCCCCCACCCCCCCCCCCCCCCCCCCGCATCATCCCTTCACTCTCACACTCTTTTGTCCGTTCCCACTCCCTGTGACCTTTGATCCTTCCCCTTTCTGGTCCCTCCCCTGTTCACACAAGACCCCTTGTGGTTTGCCATCTCCCTTTGTTTCTTTGTTCTCTCATCCACCCTCCCCTGCATCTTTCTACACCTTTCCCACTTAATCCTCCTTTTGTGTTTCTTCTTTCAGCCCTGCATGTTTGTGTGCACCCCCATGTTAATGTATGCACCTCTGTCATTTCTGTTTTAGCCTCTGAAGAAGAACTTGCTAAGTTCGCAACGTCAGGCCACATTAATTTTAAGATTTATATATTTCAGGTCCATCCAGTCAGTAAGCAGTTTGCAGCAGTTTTACTTTTTTACATGTTTTTTTATATATAATAGAAAACACCACACTTTTTGTTCTTGGTTGGCCTTATTATTTTAATATACGTTTCAGTGTTCAATTCATTTCATTTAGTCTTTCAGATATCTTTCAGGTTATTCTGGATGGCTGCATGTCAAAGGAAACACATGCTTTATGTCAAAGGGAGATAATGCTCTGTATAATTTTTGTTTGTGAACCCCCCCCCCAACCTCCGCTCCCACCTCCCACCACCCCCCAGGCTTGACCCTACTCATCCCTCACCTCATCTCCATGAAATCCAACTGGTAGAAATGCAGGCTGCGCATCTTTGCCGCCACGGGCAAGAAGGAGCAAATGGACAGGGAGAAGATGAACATGGCCAACATGCTCAGCAAGTTCCGCATCAACTGCTCGGACGTGGAGGTCATCCCGGACCTGAACAAGAAGCCCAAGGAGTAGAGCCTGAGACAGTTCAGGGAGCTGTCCAAACCCTGGATGCTGGATGAGGAAGCAGGGGAGACCACGGAGAAGTTTCCTTGGAAGATCAGCAAGGAGGAAGTCACCACGCTCAAAGAGAAGGTAGAATCTCATGCATGCATCCTTCTCACGCCTCACCGCACCCATCCTTATCACATCGCATCATCGTTGGAATCCTTCATTCTCCTGACGACGGGCAGAGCATACTGTTCGAAACGCTGAGTCCCTCCGGTTCTTTTCAGAACCACACATACTCAGAAAAGAGATTTATTCACATGGTGCTACCGCAAAACTTATCTTGTCTTAGTATCTTTCCACCATGCAAACCTTCAAATCTCATCCTATATCATTATTAATTGTCATACATTATGCCCCCAAAAAAGTGTCTGTGGAAAAAAAAGGCTGATGTGGTTTGGGATTGGAATCATTTGCCCTTGAGCATTAAACTGAGGTCTTGCCGTGATGACTGATAGCCAGGCAAATGATTCCAATCCCAATTGCAGCCCTTTTCACAACATGCAGGATTTTACACAGCTTACTTAACACAGCACTGAAATTGATTAAGGCAAGGAACTTGGTCACAGTGTCCCAAAATGTTGTTGTGATCAATTGACAAGTGTGCAGTGATGCGTGACTGAAATTAAATGAAACTCATCGGGGTTGAGGCCAAGATAGGGAGTATCTGCACAATCAAACTTTTTCAAATTGGACTTCATGGTTTTGTAGTTATTTCAAAAATAGTCAGACGGACATTTCTTTTGGACATACTGTATTATGCGTATAATATTTGTTTGCATTAAAAGAAAAACAAAAATTGCATTAAAAATATACGAACACTGTACACACTTACCATAACGCGCACACTGTCGTTTTCTGCTATGCTTCCGAGGATTAATTGGCTTTGTGTTTTCCTTTGTTCCCTGATCTAAACCTTTCCATAGACTTAGTGCACAAACCGGCGTTGGAGGACAATAGGCACCGTCGTTCGAGTACCGTATTTTGAGTACCGAAATGTGTACTCACAGTTGAGTACTTGAAGAAGACTTTGCGGAATGAATTTTGATGAACAGTTTGAGTAAAATGCAAGCAGGTCTTTAAAAAATTAAGTCAAAGTGGCAAAATGTATAACAAGATCATTAAACCAGATTTGTCCAGGTTTTTGGCTTTTTGCAGCGCTAACGTTGGTCTTTTCCAAGACCTGGTCACGATTTATTTAGAGCAAATGCATTCAAATTTTCCTTCCTGATTGGTTTCCGTCTAGATTGGTGGGTTGGGTAAGATCAAGACCAACACAATCATCAAGGAGCTCTCCAAACCCTGGATGCTGGATGAGGAAGCAGCCTGGAGATCACGGAGAAGTTTCCTTGGAAGATCAGCAAGGAAGAATTCACTATGCTCAACGAGAAGGTAGAATTCTCCTCCTTGTGCTCAAGCACCCCCCCCCCCCCCCAGTGAAAACTATCAACGTTATATTTATTTTTGTGTAAGTTGGTCAGTAGTGCAGAATGATTCACATGTTAACTAATGCATGCAAAATAGAGAAAAAAAGTTCAACGACTACATGTATCATCCTACCCTATATTTTTAGGCTATAGAAATGTCAAACCCCCAAAACAGATTTTTATCTACCCTACCACACAGTTTATGTAATAGAAAACACCACAATTTTGTTCTTGGTTGGCGATATTATTTTAATATATGTTTCAGTGTCCAATTCATTTCAAGGAGCCTTTCAGAGATCTCTCAGGTTATTCTGGATGTCTGCATGTCTAAGGAAACACATGCTTTATATAATGCTATGTATAATTTTTGTTTGTGAACCCCCCAAACCTCCGCCCCCACCTCCCACCATCCCCCAGGCTTGACCCTACTCATCCTCACCTCATCTCCATGAAATCCAACTGGGAGAAATGCAAGCTGCGCGTCTTTGCCACCACGGGCAAGAAGGAGCAAATGGACAGGGAGAAGATGAACATGGCCAACATGCTCAGCAAGTTCCGCTTCAACTGCTTGGACGTGGAGGTCATCCCGGACCTGAACAAAAGGCCCAAGGAGTAGAGCCTGAGACGGTTCAAGGAGCTGTCCAAACCCTGGATGCTGGATGAGGAAGCAGGCGAGACCACGGAGAAGTTTCCTTGGAAGATCAGCAAGGAAGAAGTCACTACGCTCACCGAGAAGGTAGAATCTCCTCCTTGCGCTCAAGCACCCCCCCCCCCCCCCCCCCCCCCACAGAGAAAACTATAAACAAGGGCCATTTGGGCGCCATCGTGGCTTATAAATGCTGGTACCAAATACACGATAACCAGCATGAGTGAACCAGTGAAGTGTCCCTCATTCCGGCTTCTGCTTGGTAGACTATAAAGCGCCCTCTTTGTCCATGCATGGAGACAATACACTTAGAGCTCTTCCCAGTATCCACTTTATACGGAAGACGGATAGTGCCACTCAATATGTGAAAATGTTTTTTTTTTGCACACCGGCCGCCACTTATTATGTGGCGGCCGCCAGATAATAAGTGGCGGCCGCCACATAAGTCGTCATAATAAGTGGCGGTCGCTGTACACAAAAATATTTTCACACGCACCAAAAAAATATATTCACACTCATTGAGTGACACTATCCGTCTTCCGTAACTTAACGCTTAGTCCCTGGTTTTTGTGATTTTAAGTCCAGTCTTGCAACATCTTTTATTGCGTCCAACCTTTGACATTCTGGTGGGTGATTTTTCAAAAATGAGTATTGATCACTTTCAGTGCAAATTGAACAACTCATAATTAGTTCATTTTCTTTGCCAAGTGGAACTCGACATATTAAACATCAATATTCCAGTCCATTTTCCACCTAAAATCTTTGGTCTTCTTCATAATTCCCTTCTAAAAAAAATCCTCCTAGCCAAGATAGTTAGTCTCTTTCATAAATTCCCTCGAAAAATGTCCTTTTAGCCAAGATGGTTAGTCTTCTCCATAAATCCCTTCTTAAACAAATATCTTCCTAAACCATGATGGTTCCTCTCCTCCATAATTCCCTTCTAAAAAATATTCTCCTAGCCAAGATGGTTAGTCTCCTCTGTACTTCCCTCCTAAAAAAATATCCTCCAAGCCAATATGGTTAG